GCCTCCAGCCAGCATTAGGAAAGCCTTCAGTTGTTCTCCTAACTGGAAAGACTGTGTTGGAGTGCAGAAAACTGTTCCCCAAAATATGGCACTTTGGCATGCTGAATGCTTTGAAAACTAAAAGGCCTCAGAAATAAGGCTCAGAATCAAGGATCTTCTAACCCTATTGTGTTCCTTTCACCCTAAGTACAGGAACAGACTTTCTCTGGAATTTCCTTATCTGACTAAGAAAGCCTTCCAAAAGAAATGCAACTGTCTTAAGATCCCTTACCTAGGAATCTCATCAGATAACCAGGAAAGAACAACTCCCTGGAGTAATTGGAGAGACTGGGAGGTCACCGTGCCTGGACAGATGGTTTCATGAGATAATCTGCCTCTGAGTCTCATCTCCTAATAATTATTTACTGTCCCTCAAAAGCATTGTCTACATTCCCCACCTTCCCTCTTCCCTATGAATATTGGTATATAAGCTTCTGTACTCCACTGGAAATTTGGGAAATTACTCTCTTGTGATTCCCCCCTGCATTAACCCCTCCCAACATGTTAAAATAATAAAATGTGATGCCTTTTCTTCATATTAATCTGCTTACCAGTTATTTTCCAGGGAACCTTCAGGAGGTTGAAGGGGAAGTCTTCCCTAGGCTCCTACAACAGCTTACAATCTAAATTGAGAGGGTCTGGCTTCTTTCACCCAATAAAAGTTTTTTGAATTTCATCCCTATTATTGTATATATCACAGTTTATTTTTTTACTTTTTTAAACATTTTTTCTTTTTTAGTTTTAAAATTTATTACTGAGTAGTATTCCATAAATTTGGGTTGTTTCCAGATTCTGGCTATTATGAATACAGATGCTATGAACATTTGCATATAAGTCTTTGAGTGGTGACAAAGATTCTTTGCTTGGCCAAACATTACTCAGGCTTCTGAACCTTCTCCTAGGCCTATCCATGTACTTCCTCGAAAATCCAGCTTTAGCAAAAGAACCCTGCTAAGTCAATTTAGCCAGAACTGCTCTAATTATTCTTAATATCTGATTATGCTCCTCATTCTCCACCATCCCCAGGTGATGTCTGATCACCCTGGCCTGTCTTCAGCAAGAATCCTATTAGGTCAGTTTAGCCAGAATCCCCCTCACCCCTTGCTGTGGTTTAAATGTGTCTCCCAATGTTCATGTGTTGGAAACTTAATCCCCAATGTAACAGTACTGAGAGGTGGGACCTAATGGGGGTGTGTTTAGGTCATGAGGGCTCTACCCTCAAGAATGGATTAATGCCGATTATAAAAGAGCTTAAGGCTGTAAGTTCAATATTGCTCCCACCCCCCCACTTTGCCCTCCCACCTCCTGCTATGGGATTACCCATCAAGAAGACCCTTGCTTGATGCCAGCACCTTGACATTGGATTTCCCAGCCTCCAGAACTGTGAGATATGTCTTTTCTTTATAAATTACCCAGACTGTGGTATTCTGTTATAATAACACAAAACAGACTGAGACACCCGATGTTTCCTCTTAGAATTTTTGATCCTCTGACCCCACACTGCTCCTTAGCTATAAATTCCCACTTGCCCATGCTGTATTTGAAGTTCAGCCCATTCTCTCTCCCCCACTTCAAGACCTCATTGCAGTGGTCCTATACCTAGCGCAATAGTCCTGAATAAAGTCTTCTTTACCATGCTTTATCAAGTGTCACTGAATAATTTTTTCTTCAACAGTGGACATTGGTTCTATTTTCTTCCAGTCTGTGGCTTTTATGTTCATTTTCTGAACAATGTCTTTCAAAGAGCAGAAGATTTCAATTTTGATGAAGTCCAATATATCATTATTTTTTCTTTCATGGTTCATACATTTTGTGTCCTACATAATCTTTATCTCCCAAGGATCACAAAGATTTTTATTCTAGCTTTCTTTCAGATGTTTCATAGATTCAAGTTTTACATTTAGTTATGTAATCTATTTTGAGTTAATTTTTCTATATAATGAAAAGTAAGGATTGAGGCTCATATTTTGCATAGAAATATCCCATTGGCCCAGCACCATTTATTAAAAAAGACTGTCCTTTCCCCCACTGAATTACCTTGGCACCTTTGTCAAAATAAATTATTAATATATTTAATATATTTCTGGTCCATTTCTGAACTCTCTATCCTGTTCCATTCATCTATATGTCTGCCCTAATACCAACGCAACACTGTCTTAATCACCATACCTTTATAGTAAGTCTTGAAATTCAGTAGTTCTTCTTTGTGTTGGTTATTCTAGGTCCTTTGCTTTTCCATATACATTTTAGAATCAGCCTGTAAATTTCTACAAAAACTCCAGCTTGAAAAACATGAACAAATTTGGAGGTATAACAAAACCAAATTTCAGGAATAACTATAAAGCCACAGTAACTAGGACAGTGCGAAATTGGCATAAGCATATATAAATAGATAAGGAACTAGAATCCAGAAATAGGTACAAATATATACTGTCAATTGGGTACTGTAAATCAATGTGAAAATAAATGCATTTTCAACAAATGGTACTAGAACAAAGGAATAAACATTAAAGACATGTTAAAAATGTAGCTTGATCCTTTTCTCATACTATACACAAAAATTGATTTGTAGATTATAGACCTAAATGTAAAAGTTAAAACTATAAAGCTTAGAGGAGTAAAAAATAGAAGAAAAAATCTTTGCAACCCCCAGTTAAGAAAGTGAAGAAAGCAAGTCACAGACTTAGAACTCTAATCAGGACTCTTCTATTCTATGAAGAATACTTACAAATCAGCAATAAAAAGCCAACCATCTCAATTAAAAATGGACAAAAAATAGGGGCCGGCCCGTGGCTCACTTGGGAGAATGTAGTGCTGATAACGCCAAGGCAACAGGTTTGGATCCCTATATAGGGATGGCTGGTTAGCTCACTTGGGAGAGCGTGGTGCTGACAACACCAAGTCAAGGGTTAAGGTCCCCTTACTGGTCATCTTTAAAAAAAAAAAAATGGGCAAAACACTTCAAATGACACTTCACAAAAGAAGATACACAAATGTCCAGTAGCACATGAAAAGATGCTCAATATCATTAGTCACAGGGAAATGCAAATTAAAACTTCAATGAGATACCACTTTATACCTATTAGAATCAGGCAAATAAAAGTACCAATAAGGATGTAGATTAACTGGAACTCTCATTTATTGCTGGTAGGAATACAAAATGATACAACCAATTTGGAAAACTCTTTGGAAATTTATAATAAAGTTAAACATACATCTATTCTATGAACCAGCAGTTCCACTCAGCTATATTCCCAGATGTGAAAGCATATATACACAAAAAGTCTTGTGCTAGAATGTTTATTAGCAGTTTCATTCATAATAGCCCCAAACTGCAAACAACCCAAATGTCCATCAACAGGAGAATAAACTGTGGAATATTCATATAATGGATTACTGTTCTGTAATAAAAAAGAATAACGATACACATAACAATATGGGTGAATCTTAAAAACAGTATGTGGAGGGTAAGAAGCCAGACACAAAAGAGCACTCACTGTACGATTCCATTTATATGAGGTTCACTAACATGCAAATCTAATCTGATAGTAATCAGAACAGTGGTTATCTCTGGGAGAAGATGATTAGAAGGGAACATCCTGTAAGGAGGAAATGTTCTCTATCATGATTTGGGTGATGTTAACGTGGGGTACACATTTGCTGAAACTAATAAAATTGTACATTACAATCTGTCCATTTTACTATATATGTTATATCTCAATAAAAAATATAAGATAAAAATGCATTAACAAAGCTTTTAACCCTATCAATTTAAAGAAATGAACAGAGAAGGAAGGAGTGAGATACAGGAAAGTAGAAACAAAAAACAATTTAGTCTAAATAAGAAATGACTTTAAAAATCTATATTCATAAATATATATTTCATATATATAGAAATAAAGCTCCAGATGATACAACTGAATTAATAAGAATGAGGTTTTTATGAATAACTTTGACCCAAAATGACAGTGGCTTAATTAAAAGTAAAGCTTATTTTTCTGTTGCATAAAATTCCATGGAGCCAAGTTCCTTCTAAATTGCTGTCCCATATACTTTACATGTTCCTCATGTGCCAAGATGGTTGCTCAAGCTCCAGCGGCCACACATACAGCCCAGCCAGAAGAGAAGAAAGGGATGAAGAAGGGCTTAGCCTCCCTTTAAGGACATTTCCCAGAATTCACAACTAACATTTCTGTTTACCACACCTAAATCTAAGAGCAGCTTAAAAATGTAGTCTTTATTCTGATCAGCTATATGCCCAGAAGGAAGGAGAGGAAGGTACCAGGGGAGACGATTATCAATCTCTACTCTGGTCCTCTCCTTTACTTATCTAAATGTTCACATGTACCTTCTTTCCATACGCAGAACACGCTAATCCTCTTCCAAAAGGAGGCTACTTCAAAGTTTTGTGAACAAAGAAGAAAACTAGGAGCAGTGAAGTGCTCTGTATCATTAAAAAAAAAAAAAAAAAAGAGCTACCCTGGAACCACAGGGTAACAAGGGAAATGACCCAGCCACAGACACAGTAAGTACACCAACCTATCATCATCTCCCTAAACCTCAGCCCTCCCTTTTCCATACAGCCTAATTAAAGTGATCTGGTTATCAAGGCTCTAGCACCTGAAGGGAGAGGGGCAGAAACAGGCAGAAAATGCAGGCTGCAATTTGAGATGTAGTGCCCTAACCCCTCTCTTGCTCCTAGTTTCTCTCGCTTCCTCCTTCCCAGATGCAATACTAGCAAACTTAGCTACAAAGCTCCATGCAGAAATGCTGATGGCTATGAGGAGCACAGGCAGCAGAACCCAACTGGCTAAAACCATCGGTCCAGTTCACATCAAGATAGGCAGGTGCCTCCCCTCTCACTCTATGGTTTAAAAAGAATCTTCCTCAGCTTAATGTGAGCTGAGTTCTCTCTACTGTCCCCACACTCCGGGCAAGTAGAGATGCAGAACACACAGGAAGACTCTCCAAACATTTATTCAGTTGACATCTGAAATCTCCACATTCTATAACTGCCTCAACACAACTTGGAGTGTCCGTGGACATGGCCACTAGGGCACTGAGGAAAGGGGAGGACTGGGTTGCCCCAGGAAGGCTTGTGTGGCAGAGGCTGTCCATTCACACATGGATCCACAATGGGGTTCGGGGGAACCTCTCCCAGCCCCGGTCCACTGAGCCAGATGAGGAAGTTCTGGGCCTCGCACCTCTGCAGGGACCTGGCAATGCCTCCTTCACTCTCTCTGAGCCATCACCAAGCTGACTAGTTTCACAAAGTCTCAGGTGAGAGCCCTGAAATCTGAAGCAGGTCCAACGCTTGTTTCACCGCTGATGATGTCTCTTCTTTGGCTGATGTTCTCCAAGATGTCAAAGAGTCATGACACTCCACCTGGCAGGTGGGCTGTCCCTCTAGCTGGGATGGATTCATGCCCTTCTTCCCATCAGGCAGAGCACAGCCCAGGTAGGAGTGGCCAAGTCAGGTGACCAGAGAATCAGGCTGGGACACTTTCCAGGCCCCAGTGTCCCCACCAGGCTCTGTTGTGTGGATCTCTTCAGGGTCAATGGATGCCAACCAGAATTTGAGGAAAGGGCATCGGAAGGAATGGGAGGTCAATGGAGAGGCCTAGTGGGAGACTCAGAAAAAGGATGGGGAGTGGACTGGGGTGATCACAGGGTCACCAGGATGCCGAGGGGCAGCACCAGACACAAGAGTAGGATGAGGAACATCACTGGACACAAAGAGGTAGCCTGGTTCACCACTGCAACCATCCACTTACTGTAGAAGCCAATTTCTGTATAAACTCCTGGCACCCCTTCGCGACCACAGCCAATGCCCCAGCTCACAATCCCCACCTGGACCCATGTGTCATTAAATTCACAGGCCAGGGGGCCCCCAGAATCTCCCTGGAGAAAGAGAAAGAAAAAAACTGCAGGAATGGAATAGGATTCCCATCACGGCAGGCTGATTGCACTGCAAGATGCTGGGGAGACAGGCAAACAGGGGGCTTCCCTAGACACCCCAAAGGTCCTGCTAGGCCCAGGCTTTTGTGAATACAAGAACTGAATATGTGAATATGGGAATTGAAAAGTTAATAGGAAAGCTGTAATATGCTCCGAGGATATTATGACTGATCATTTCCCAAACCACAGTGATCGTTAAACATTTTGAATATCACCTCTGCATGGCAGCCCCTTACATTTTAGGCTGAAGTTGCTCTAGAACTAACCTATATAGCCAGCTCCCTCCACATTTTAAGTCCCACTCTCAGACATCCCACACACACCCCGACTCAAGCAGAACTCTGTATGTCCTTTCTGAAACTGCTCCAGTGGCGCCTAACCACCAACCACCTCAGTGAGAAACACAGGGTCCTCCTCAACCCCTCCCTCACCCCCACCCTCACCCCCCATGCAGTCAGTCACCAAGAGCTGACAATTACACCTCAACACACTTCCTTCACCCATCTCACTGCCCCAGGCCCTGCTCAATATCATTGCCCAGATGATAAAAACAAGTTCCTAGACTTCAGTCCATGCACCACACAGCTCAGGGAATCATTTGCCTAAAAGGCAAATCTGATCGTGTTCACCCTGCCCCACCTCCCAGTCCTGCCTGGGCACCATCTAGAAACTTGGCACAGCATTCCAGGCTACATGTATTCTGACTCCAACCCACTTCTGTGGCCACATTTACTACCAACTTATTCCAGGCAAGTAAAATGTTCCCTAAACATGAGAAGTTCCCTCTGTACATGCTGTTCCCTCTCCTTACAATGCTGTTCTCTTCTTTCCAAGAAATCCAAATACTATCCCCTAAGATCCAACTCAAATGGCTTCTCCTCAGGAAGGCAGCCTGGTGCAGAGGGAAGAGTGTGGACCTGGCAGTCATACAGGTACTCACAGGAGGACCTTGAACTGACATCTTTGGATCTCATCTTCCACATCTGTATAATAGGTATGATGTCTATGTTGCAGGGTTGTGATATGGGTTAACTGAAATAATGTGGGTTACTAATCACACTGGCATGGTGAGTGCCACATGGAAGGAACTCAATTAATGCAACGTATACTATTATAATGCATTACCCTCTCCCAACTTCTCCACACCCTAGCAGTGCCCCCAGGCAGCAAGGGCTGCTCCCTTTGGAAGGAACAGGCCAGGCCAGCTCAGGGAAGCCATAGAGGGCTTCTTCCCATGAAATCTCCTTAACTTGACTAGGGGGGATGGAGGAGATAGCAAATAACCCAGGCCCTGCCACCTGGAAATGAGGAAAGAGCCCATGAACTTACCTGACAAGAATCTTTTCCTCTTTCTTTATAGCCACAGACCATGCCTTTCACTACTAAATCCCTAGCAGATGACAAGTAATTCTGTATCAACTTATTACATTTTTGGTAGTGGATGATGTATTGGTCCACCTCCTGGAGAATTTCTGATGGAGGCAGGAACACTAAAAAAGAAGATCAGCAGTATGTGGATCTGCACAAGTGGATAGTAAGCCCCCAAGGACCCAGGATCCCCCTGGAAGAAGGGCAGTGATCATTATCCCCATTTGACACAGGAGAAAACTGAGGCCCAAAGTTGCCATGGGGGGAGGAGGATGTAAGAAGGAAAACCAGGAGAAGAGAAGGAAGAATATTTCAGGAGAGGGAGACACAGGGCCTTACCAGCCCAAAAAATCAAAACCAAGCATCTGTCACTCCAAATATCAATAGTAATAGTAACAGAGTGTCCTGTGCCTCAATAAAGCATCTTTACTTTCTAGAGTGGGATCAAAGACTCTCGAACAGGTAGCACCCCTAAAGTACCAAATCCAGTCTCTCCCCAAGGATAGGAGGCCCTACAGCCTCATCAACAAGGGTCTTTTGGCTCTGCCTTCACCCCCAGGACAGGAAGCTCCTACCCACCAAGGCAGGTACTTCCAGAGAGGAGCAGCTCTGATTAGCCAACAGCTCAACACCTCGTGAGCAGAAATCCACCCTGGAGAGAACTCCATAGCATCTGACTCTGTTCCCAGGGAACCTAAAACAACATTCACAAACCAGCTGGACACAGTGCCCCACAAATCTGCAAAAGGAGACTTTGGCCATGTGCTGCTTCTCTTGGCTGAGCAACTCCAGTTCCCAGAACAGGCAACTTTCCTAAATGGCTGCCATCAAATACTTGTGTTGCAGCAAAAGATCTCAGCCCAGTTTCTGGGGTCACCCAAGCCAACTGGGAACCATTACCCCTACTGCTGCTGAACTGCTTCCCCCTCACCCGCCTGCCAGGCAGTCTGCCTCCCTGTCCCTCCCTCTGCCTGAGTTTGCTTTCTGCCTCAAAGTCTCACCGCCTTCTGTTGTTCTGCCCCATCCGGTGACCCAGCACTTGGTCCCATCTTTCACCTGGAAAGTCTCCCTAGGGATGCAGATGGGCCGGATGGTTGAGGTAAAATTCACGGCGTAGAGGAGCTGGAGAAGGGCGAGGTCGTTTCTAGCGCTCACAATTGTTGAGAACTTAGGGTGGACAATGATGTTTTTGATGGGGATCACCAGACTTGTGTTTTCGTTACGGACACTCCGATCTCCTATCTTGACAGTGTACTGGAAATAGCTGTAGAAGAGAGGACATATCCCTCACAGAGACCCTGGGAAGCGTACCTTGTGCCTTTTCTACGCATTTCAGATGTTTCCCGAAGTGGCCCCAACCTCCCTCGCCACTCTCCCTCCCATCCTACCTCTGTCACCGAAAACTCCTCCATCACGCTCAAACGGGTTTGCCTGCCCCACTAAGTATTCCTAGTACCACGACTACCAGTGCAGAATCCCTGCCTTTTTTATTGTGCATGTTCTGTTTCTTTCGGCCAATTTGAGAGGGAACAGAACTGAGCGGGTGTTTGAGGAGGACAAGCCCGGCTCCACAGCTCTCACATCTCCACTTGCCACCCCTCACCTGAAAATACAGTGGGCGGCAGTCAGCACCCACTGTGACGTGAGCAGGGAGGCTCCGCACACGTGCTTGCCGTTGATCCTCAGGCTCACCTGCCAGGGCCACTTCCCCTCCTCGGCGTCGGTGCCTCCCACGATTTTCAGGTTGGGCCGGCCACACACTGGGGTGAAGAGAGTGGAGGAAGAACTCAAAGAAACAGGCCCTGTCTCCCCTGCGCCCGGGACTGCCCGGGAAAGCACCCGGTGCCCCTGAGACAGCCAAGGAAGCCGTGTCCTCCGGGCCTGAGGACAGCGCTTCAGATCCGCCGGCCACGGCCGCCTAGCGCAGACTACCCAGGCACAGTCGTGTCCTCCCAGACCCCCAGGGAGCCTCAACCGTCCCCTAGACGCCCACGAGAGTCACCTGGGCCAAACGCATACATATCGGTGGTCATCACACCCTTATTGGACTGGGTTGTCGCCGGGGATCCCGGAACCCCTACAGGGGGCGGCGGCGAGGACCCCTGAGCGAGCGGGCCCTCCGAGGGGAGCGGCGCCGCC